CATCTTTTTCTGTAGCTGATCAAATAACTCTACATCAACATATTTATTCCAGTTCTCTTTATTCAGGGTATTCATTGGGTCTGCTTTTTAAGATAAGGGTTATTTTGTATTCTCATAATGGCTGATGTGTATTGCTGCTTCTTTGACATTATGGGAGTCTTTTCTTGGTAGATATTGGGCTGTTATAACTATAAAAGTACCCAAGGTACAGCAAAGTTTTGTGAAGCACTTATATATTTGTGCTCCCTTCTTGGCATAAGGCCTGCAAAGCCAAGGGCCAAACAGCAGGGTCCCCCCACCCCCACCCAGTGTACTGAATGACCAAGGAGGAAGCCTGTTGTTCTCTTCTGGAAGTGACTTCTTGCCTCCATCAAGGTGTCTAGGACCTCCCTCTTGCTTGAGTTAAGGAGTCCTGTGTGGTCAAGATAGAAGTTTTTTCCCCCCAAATAACTGTGGGAGCAGTGCTGGCAGCACAGTCCTACCCCGTGGTCCAGCTTCCTGCTCTGCAGTCCTCCTTCCTGCCCACAGTCCTGCTTCCTCCTGTGCAGTCCTACCTCCTGCTTAAATGTGATTTTAATGAAAGTTTACAGAAAGGTTGGATTTTCATTTCTTCATTGATACACATTCTCTTCCTTCTCTCTTCTTTTCCCCTGCCCCAGTCCCCTTTGCAATGTACCTCTTATTCCAGATTTTTGCCATACATATAATGCCTAATCATAAATTTCTTTCAGTTAGTTCTTCCCCTCCTCTGTTCTAATGCGTTGCTCATAATCTATGCACTCTATTATCTATTCTCCTCCCAAATCCCCATTTTATTACAGCCCTGCTTTATAACAGTTGCGGTATGCAGCATTTGTCCTTTTGTGGCTGAGATATTTCACTCAGGATAATGTCTTCCAGGCTTACCCATGTTTTGTAGTGTTTTAAAACTTTACTGTTTTTCTTTTCTTTTTCTAAGTGGACAGATTATTATTATTATTATTAATTTCAATGATCATTTACAGAGACTTTGGATTTCCATTCATTCATTGTTGTGCATTTCTCCCCTCACTACCCTCCCCCCCAGTATACTCCCCTATTGGAAAAGTAAAAGAAAAATTCTTTCATTGGTATACAATCCCTCCCACCAAGTCCACTCCACTATGCAGCCTTCACTCTGGACTCCCATCATGACAAAAATAACTAATCACATATCCCTTTTCTCCCTCAACTGTTTCAATGTAGTATACATTATTTAACACATCTTTCTCAGTATCCCCCCAACCCCGATGTCAGTCCTGTTTTACAACAGTGACACCATGCTGTATTTGTCCTTTTGTGACTGAGATATTTCACTCAGCATAATTTCCTCCAGGGTCACCAATTTTGAATAATCTTGCATGAGTTCCTTGTTTTTCAATGCAGCATAGTATTCCATTGTGGGAATATACCACAGCTTCTCTATCCATTCATTTGTTGATGGGCACTTAGGTTGTTTCCAACTCCTTGCTATTGTGAACAAAGCTGCAATAAACATGAGTGTGCATATATCTGCTTGTGTGGCAGTTATGGTCTCTTTAGGGTATATTCCCAGTAGTGGAATTGCTGGGTCAAATGGTATTTCTATTTGCAACTTTTTGAGAAAGTGCCATACCACCTTCCACAATGGTTGCACCATTTTACTCTTCCACCAACAGTGAATAAGGGTTCCAGTTTCTCCACAACCTTGCTAGCATTTGTTGCTTACTGTTCTGTTAAATTTTGCTGTTCTTACTGACTTCACTGTTTTTCAATATTGCATAATATTTCATTGTGTGAATTTACCACTGTGCTGTGTTTTTTTTTTCTTATCCATTCGTTTGTTGATGGGTACTTGGGTTGCTTCTATCTCTCAATAAACTCAATAAACATTAGTGTGGATACATCTGTTTGAGTCGTGGCTCTGATTTGTTTAGGGTATATTCTCAGTAGTGGAATTGCTGGATCAAATGTTATTTCTATTTCCAACGTTTTTAGAAAATCCAAGACCACCTTCAATATTGGCTTTACTCTTTTACCTTCCCACCAGTTGTGAATAAGAGTTCTTATCTCTCCACAACATTGCCAGCATTTGTTGTATGCTTCCCTGTTGAACTTAGTTGTTGCTGCTGGATCCAATAGCACTTTTGCACTTAAGAAGCTCACTAAGATCACAGTTATGTGTATCTGTGGTTGTTATGGGCCATTGAATTGCTTGCAACTCATGGCAAACCTATCTACAACAGCTCTGAACCCTACTGTATCCTGAGCCAACCTTATAGTCTCTGACACACCTACTCCCATTACCCCCATTCACTGAATCAATCCATCTGACCAAGGGTTTTCTTCTCTTGCTCTGTCCCTCCACCCTCCCAAGGATGTTGTCCCTCTCCAAGGACTGGTCACTCCTTGCAACATGCCCAAACTATGTCAGACAATGCTTCAGAATCCTTGCCTCCAAGGAGCAGCTTGGTTTCAACCTCTCTAGAACAAAACTGTTTCTTTGCCTAGCAGTCCATGATATATTCAATACTCTTCTCCAGCACCACAGCTCAAAGACATCAATTCTCCTTATATCATCCTGTCACTGTCCACCTTTCTGAAGCATAACAAGTAATTAAAAAGACCATGGCCTGGCTCAGATACACCTTAGTCTCCAGACTGACATCATTGCCCTTCAGTACTTTGAAGAAATCCCTGACAACCGACTTCCCCAATGCAATTTGTCTTTTGATTCCCTGACTCTTGGTACCAAGAGTGTTGATTGCCAAGCAAACTGAAGCTGTTAACAATCTCAATCTCTTCACCATCTATCATGATGCTGCCAATCTGCCCAGTGGTGAGACTCTTCGTTTTCTTGATGTTGAGCTTCAATCCATATTGAAGGTTACAGTCCTTGACCTTCTAAAGTAAGCATTTCAGGTCCTCCTTAGTTTCAGCAAGCAAGTTTGTGTCATCTGCATAACACAGGTTGTTGATGAATCTTCTTAAACTCCAAGCCTTCAGATAATCTGTTCTACATATCGATTGAAAAAGTAAGGAGATAGGATATATCCCTGGTGTACACTCTTCCTGATTTTTTTTATTTCATATTGGTTTACTTACAAAGTTCATAAAGTTTGTATACATTGTTTTTTCACACAAGATCTTTCCTGATTTTGAATCATGCAGTGCTTCCTTGCTGTGTTCTGATAACCGCCTCCTGGTCCAAGTAGAGGTTTCACATAAGCATAATCAAGTATTCTGGGATTCCCATTCACAGTTTGTGTGATCTAAATGGTCAAGTTCCTTTGTATAGTCAATGAAACACAGATATACATTCCACTGTTACTCTCTGCTTTCAGTCAAAACCCATCTAACATTAGTTATAATATCCCTAGCACCACAGCCTCTTCTAAACCCAGCCTGCACATCTGGCAGTTCTCTATTGATGTTTCAGTCACTTTTGCATAATCTTCAACAGAATCTTACTTGCATGTGGTATTAATTATATTGTTCAATATTTTCTGCACTCTCTCAGGTCATCTTTCTTTGGAATGGGAACAAATATGAATCTTTTCCACTCAGTCGGCCAGGTGCTTGTCCTCCAGATTTCTTGGTACAACTTGGTGAGCACTTCTATTTGCTGAAAATATGTCAATTGGTATGCTGTCAATTCCTGGGGCCTTGTTTTTTGCTAGTTCTTTCAGACCAACTTGAACTTCTTCATCATCACAGGCTTTTGCTCATGCATTGTTTCATTAAATTTCTGTGTCAGACAATTTTTATTGGTACATTGACTCTGTATACTCCTTCCATCTTCTTTTAATGCTTCCTGGATCATTTCATATTCTGCCCAAAGCATCCTTAAGTACTGCAACTCAAGGCTTGAATCTACTATCTGTATACCTCTCCAGAGGCAGTGACTGTGTCTTCCTGTTCTTCTTTTCTTTGTCTTGTTCACTTCTGCATAATGAGGTTCTTCCTAAGTTCTTGTTGAACACACCTGAATCTCTATGAGACACTAAAGATCAAATTACGGTAAACCCATCTTTCCTTAATGAAAATTTCCTATGTTTACAGTCTGTCTATTGGTATGCAAACAATCTTGTAACTTTGATAATGAACAGTGAGAGATTTTTAAATAAAACCTCTTAATATGTTTTGTCATTGGGGAAAAAAAACCCCTCATTCCCAACCCAATGGGTTTACTATCCACCAAGCTTGAGAATATCAGAGATCTTGAAGATGAACTATGATAGGGCAAGGATCTGTTGTTCTTAGGTTTGCTATGAGTTATAATTGCAGTGTTGTCACCTAACAGCAACAACAACAACCCTTATTAAAAAAACTAAAAAAATTAAAAACCAAACAGTGCAAGCAGATTAGGTTTACTACCTTGAAAAGGAAGAATTCCTCCTTTCCTATATCAGCAACATTGTCAACAGAAAACCAAATCCACTTAGCTCATACCTTCTTCTAATAGTTCTAGCATCAAGAGTCTATCCACAAGTATTGCTTCTATACTATGGAGCTTGCTGATTAATTGCAATAGCTACATTGCAATAGCTACGCATAATTCACAGACAATATTCTTTGTCAAATGACTTATTAGGGAAATAAATGGTTTCAACTCTGGTTAGAAACACTCAGGATACAATTCATCAATTTGATCTGCTTCTTCTCAACCATGTACAATGGCAAGCCCTTCTCTGATCCTCAGTCTTGCAGACTTTAGATCTACCCTGCTCAGATAAATGTTACAATACTCTTCTAGTTCTGTCAATTATATACCAACCCAACCCCACCAGTAAACAGAGGCCTGAAAGCTCTAGCTCCCTAAATCAGTAGATCTAGTCAGCTCTGTCTTACACAGATTTCTGTGCTTTGCTATTTCTAGGCAGTGGACATTTTAGCTAATTTCATGGACTGTAGTCGTTTACATTTAAAGAGGAGTTGAGGAGTCATTTAGGTCTGTAGTGGCACAACTTGTGGTTGTTGTCACCTCCCTCATGTCATTTCAGGAAACATGTGCAGCCCTGCTGAACCAGTGCCTCCGCTACATGCAGTCCAGGGGCTCTGACAGCACCATAGAGAAGACCTCAGGGAGCATCAGTGTGGCCTTCTCACCCCTCTGCCTGCCTTCCATGTCCACATCATCTAACACTAGCCTGAGCCTTGTGATGGATGGGAGGAGTCTGGCTTATGTTCTGGAAAAGAGCCTAGAAGACAAGTTCCTCTTTCTAGCCAAGCAGTGCCGTTCAGTCCTATGCTGTCGCTCAACACCACTGCAGAAAAGTATGGTGGTAAAACTGGTCAGAAGCAAGCTCAAGGCCATGACGTTGGCAATAGGTAAGTACTGCTCCAGCCTGCCTCTCCTGTTGCACTTCCCCCTTCCTGTGCCCTTGCAGCCTGAACTAGATGATGGGAGAGTGTTACATCAGTTTTCTCCTGTTTGTAAAATCACACCCAGTATGAGATAACAGGCAACATGTCCCACAAGCAGCAAAGGGTAACAACAGCTGTGGGTACATCTTCTTGTTAATTGTCATTGAGTCATTTCCATTCATGGTGACTCCAGATGCACAGAGTGGAACTGTTCTCCATGGAATTTTCAGGAATGTGACTATTAGAAGCCAATTTCCAGGCTTAGATGAGTTCACACGCTGGCTTTTGGTAGTCAAGGCCAACCTTTTGTCACCTAGAGACTCCAGTACACATCTTGGAGGATCAGAGGTCAGTGATAAGATGCTTCTATTGTGGTTTTGTTTTGCTTTGTTTTGTTTTGTTTTGTTTTGTTTTGTTTTGTTTTGTTTTGTTTTGGTAGCAGGGAGAATAGATACCTGCCAGTCCCAGGTAGTCATAGCCACAGCACAGAATACTTTCCACTCAGCATAAGGCAGGACAAATGGGACCCCAAGAGTGAAAGCCAACATCCTTTAATTCATTCCTCTCTCTCTCTCTCTCTCTCTCTCTCTCT